TAAAATCAAGTACAAAAAAGATTTGCGCTAACATAAATATACTAATAGGTAAATACAATAATACTGTAATAAGTTCCATAAACACTGGGTCCAATTTCTTGATATTAGGTGAAGATATTGCAATTTTTTTTTGGGACACCTTAGTACAATTTCTCCAAAGATTGTCACTTTATTCAACAATTTATAACTAATAAAAGTTTTTTCTTTCAGCATGGTTATAATCCTAGTTCATTATCTGCCATGGCTAAGTAAATCGAAAATAATATTAGAATAGTTAAATTTAGTAGAGTCATGTGCAATGTAAAGGGAAAACCTCGGAGTGCGACTTTGCATTACACCATAATTAAGCTCCCAACAGTGGCGTAACTACATTTTTTAGGCCTGTAAGCAAATTTTAACTAAGGGGCCCCTATCAACATACTAAGAGGCCCCTCTTTTTATACTCTTTATACGAAAAAATGTAAAAAGGGTATATAAGGTTTGTCAAGATTTTCGTAACGCATTAAAGGAAACTTCGGAAATACCATTAAGTATATATCAGTATACTTTTACAGTTCAAACTACTCTCTCAGCTTTTGAACTCTTCGAATGAAACTTTATACACATACTTTTCGGGAGCGCACCATTTGTTCACCATTTGATTTGATTGAAATTGGACGTCTATTTCTTGTAGCTGTGATATAAACTTATCAATCGGATATGAGGTTTCTCCTTTTTAAATAAGGGTATTCAAATGGAATATGTTGTATACAGTACTGATATTTGCAAAAGACAACGTACAAAATTATTTTCAAATGGGTTTAAATTTAGATATAGCTTCCATATAAACTCTCGATCAAGACACATATTTTCTTAGAAAAACTTTTTTATTTCATAAATAGGTTTAATATTTTATTTGAAGTACATACATATTATGTACTTTAAATTTAAAATTTACGTATCTTTTATAAAATGCAATATGAAGTTATTCCAACAAAAAACGTTTCGTCCCACTTTTGAGAATTTATTAAAAAGAAATACAATGAATACAAAAATTTATAGTGGGGCCCCCTAAATTCGGGGGCCCGAAAGCGTTGCTTCCAGTTGCTTCCCTGTAGTTACGCCACTGGCTCCCAACAATCTTAATAAATAGAATAATCGAACTATATAATAACATTCTTGAGAAAGGTATATATCCACAAAGTTGGCGTACTGCCGAAGTTCTTCCCATACCCAAATCAAAAACATCTTGCTCTGAAACTAGCTCAATTTCACTTCTGCCGTGCATGGATAAATTACTAGAAAAAATCATTGTTAAAAGAATATTGTGGTATTTAACTAAAAATAACCGAATTACTCCTAATTAAGCCGTCTTTAGTAAAAATCAAAGCACAAGTGATGTCCTACTACATCTCCAGCACTATGCGTCTTCTGATCTTTATACTGAAAATCATGTAACTATCTTGCTACTGATTTTGAAAAAGCCTTTGATCGCATCGGAGTACACGTTGTGCTTCAGCAGCTTGCTATTTGGAAAGTTGGTCAAAGGATCTTTGGTTTTGTTAAAGCTTTTTTGACTAATCGCAAATTTTGTGCTAGGAATTATTCAACTCCCTCCGATATCTTTTCTCTGTATAATGGGATTTCACAAGAATCTCCAATATCAGCAATTTTATTTTAAAAGCTTTCGATCCATTAAGTAAAATAGTATTAAAATACAATACAGTTGAACATGCTATATATGCCAATGATGCAACAAGTTCAAGCAATTTTCACTGAGATATTAAGTGAAAAGGTTGAAAGAGCACTTCCAAAAATTAGGTAGAGCCAGGCCGACACACAATTTGTTAGAAGGTGCCGGTAACTGATAACCACATATCAGTTTAGAATCACTTAAAAAGAGGAGGATTCGCAATGACGCACGACCTTTGGGTACAACATTAATTAACGCAAAGGAATTTGATTGATTGAATTATCATTCGTGAAACAATGCTGAAATGCAATCAAATAGAACCATTTTTGGGCGAATCATTACAGGTTATGAAAAATTGACTAAATATCAAAAGCCAACGACTCTACACAAATGACTTCAAAACCTGAATTGACGACAAACAAGATTATATTGACTGTTTGAGAATTATGCATTATAAGAATTATGAGCTGCTCCAGACAGTTGCAACGGCTAATTCGTTTTTTTACTGCTCACAACTCGACCGCTTGGATGACACAATCAAAGAAACCTGACTAAAATAGACAGAAAAGGAGTTGTGTTTATATCTTTGATGACTCGGAACAAAGTGAGCGAACTTGGTTGAGAAGTTTGGATGCATCCACCGTATAGCCCAAACCTTACACCATCATCTAACTCCAACTTGTTTCGGTCTCTGCAAAAGTCCTTTAATAGTAAAAAGTTAACCGATATTTAACGCCGCTGAGAATCACTTAGGGAAGTTTTTCGCCAATAAACTAGAGAAGTTCTACATCGATAGCATTCTACCCACAATGATGCTTAAACAGAACTATGCTCAAAGCTGTGACTTATTAGGTGACTTCATGAAGTCAAATAGTTAACCGTTGTATTTGCTATTAGATAAGTAGACATGGGACACTTCGCACATTTACATTGATTACATTAGTTGGCTTTATTTACCTTCTTTATTCCGTGTTCTTATTTGGCAGCACTAAAACAGAACTGCCCTCAAAGGCATCATATGTTTAGCTAAGGATTTTGCCGTTTTACAATATGGTTCGTTTAACAGCCGCTAAATGTGTTAAAAGTTGAAAAAATTCATTACAAAAATTATGAAAATTCTTGACATCGAATGCTGTTTAGTGACGAGGTTCATTTATGTTTATTCGGTGGAAACAAGTAGGTTCGAAATGCTCGAAAAACCTTTGCATTCATATAAAGTCACTACTCGATGTGACCTTTGATCAGATATTTAATGTGATAGGGCCCTGTTTTTTGTTTTTAAATGAGCCATAAAATGATTTATTGTGTGACATAAAGCATTTATTTTGATCACCATTGATTTTTGTTTTAATGTGAAATTGCAGATATGGATATGGAGAACATGTGATTTCAATAACCACTGCAATAGATACTGTTTTGGCTTAAAGTTTCCGAATCTATAATTTTTCTAATTTCATTTTCCATGCCATTTGTTGTCACTGTATTTTTTTCGTTGAATCACACAGAGAATTTTGTAGGCAATCCTCTAACTCTCGACATTCAACATTTATCAAGTTATGGTCATTTATTAAGTTATTCTCAGCTATAAGCCAAAAAATCATCAAAAATTACTTCAAAAGCATCCAGTACTGTAAGATCTCTAGTGAAGAAGATTTGATTAGTGTTCCATTTCACACATAATGGAAAGGTTTGAATAATATAGTGAAGTTAAACTTTTACCGAAATCTTAATCAGAAATTATTTTGTTTACTTTTGAAGACACAAATTGGATAATCCTAATACTAATATATATTAGAATTACTTAATTCTTCCATTGATTTTTCATTTATTGTTAATAGCATAGAATAGAATATATTTATAAGGTAATAGTTCCCAGCTGAACGAAGCACTGCGATCATAACTGATTGGTACCACGAACGCTTGGGTCTACGTGCCGGGGCAACTAGTCTCCAGCGACGACAAAATGGTCCCAACAACATCACAACTGATTTATTTTGCTGCTCTTCGACGTTAACTATTGGATTGGATAATCCTAATACTAATATATATTAGAATTGCTTGATTCTTCCATTGATTTTTAATTTATTGTTAATAGCATATAATAGAATATATTTATAAGGTAATATTTCCCAGCTGAACGAAGCACTGCGATCATAACTGATTGGTACCACGAACGCTCGGGTCTACGTCCCGGGGCAACTAGTCTCCAGCAATGACAAAATGGTCCCAGCAACGTCACAACTGATTTATTTTGCTACACTTCGACGTTAACTATTAGATTGGATAATCCTAATACTAATATATATTAGAATTGCTTAATTCTTCCATTGATTTTTAATTTATTGTTAATAGCATAGAATAGAATATATTTATGAGGTAATATTTCCCAGCTGAACGAAGCACTGCAATCATAACTGATTGGTATCACGAACGCACGGGTCTACTAGTCTCCAGCGATGACAAAATGTCACTCTCCATAGGGACTTCACAAGCAGGTCCCAGCAACGTCACAATTGATTTATTTTGCTGCACTTCGACGTTAACTATAAGAACTATAGATAAGAACCTTCGGCCCTGATCCAAGTCTGACTGTGGCAATTTGTTGAAAATAAAAGAGAAATGAAAATTTTTTTAAATGATTGCATTTGGAGAACTTATGCTTTATTTGAAAATAAAATTTGAAATTATGCGCATTGTTGAATCATGTTTTTTTTGTTTTTTACAAATAAATACATATGCAGTTTTAGAAATGTGTTTTCGATGAAAATAAATAATCCATAACTCATAATTCTTAGGGAATTTTTTTAGCGCAGATCTTTTCGTTTATTGCATATTTGCACGTCTAAAATACAAAAATCTAAAATGAATAACTTCTTAATTATTTATAATTGTTTTTAAGTATAAAAAATTTATCTTATTAACATATATTATGGTTAACACATAGCGAAAGTTATAATTAAAACTCTTAAATTTAATTTAATTCAATTCATGGTTTTATATCTAAAAATGTTATACATAAATTTGCGTGTTCCAAAGATAAAAGGGGTATTCCCGATCTCAGTGTTTACGAGGTTGGTAACCACGGGAACAACAACAACACACATTTTGAGTACATGTATTTTGTTGTTGGCAGTTTACAGTGTTACAGTGTTACCATGTAATGTGATTACCGAGCTCGTGACTCATGGCTCGTGGCTCGTGGGTTGAGATCGTGAATACCGCCAATATTAAAAAACTAGATGAACAAACATTGTTGAAATAAAATTTTCCGAAATCCGTACATTTTTTGGATTTTTATTTTTATTTAATGCTTATTAACTATTTTTCTCGTTTACAAAATAATAAGAAAAAATCTTAACAAGTGTAAAATATTTTTAAGTGGACTTTGAATTTTTTTTGTCTATAGATTTGCGCTGTTTTTGGTACTTAAAACTATAGAAGTTCGTGGTGAATCTATGCCACCAACTACACGTTTGTATATTCGCTATTTAATGTTTATCACTAAAATGTTCAAAAATTTCTCATATAACACTTTTTGCTTAGATTAATATTAATATATTAAAATTTAATTTATATAATTAATAAATTTCTTCCAAAAAGTACGAAAATGGCAACTATTTGTGTTTTTTTTATTCGTTGATAAACGTTGTCATACTTAAGTTTGAATAAAAAACTTAACTAAAACTAAAAAATGCATTTTCAAAGTTAAGAACTAAAATTTATATTTATGTATATAAAATAATTAATTTAATGTTTAAAGAATTAAAAAAAAATATGTAATAATTATATGTAATAACGCTATGATGAACTTAAGGTGAACTTAAGGTGGACATGAATGTGGAGCTGCCTATGCAAGAATTTTCAGCAAGTTTTTAACTTATTCGAGTTTTTAGCTTTTTAGCTTTTTAGCTTTTGCCTTAATTAATTTTTTTTTGTCTGTGAGATTATTTAACTTATTTTATTTAACAATAAGTGCACATTTCGAAAATATACATAAATCCGATACAGATATATTATGTGTATGTTAATATCGTGTTTTAAATGTAGTCCAATCTAAACAACTCTCTTATGGTATATTGTGTGTGTTATTCTATTAATAACAAACACTTTTAATTTAAACTGTAAATTTGAATAAAAATTTAGATTTTTATTTTGTTTTTATTTTACTTATTTTAGGGTTTAGGTTTTAGGGTTTAGGTTTTTCGATTTTGTTGCGGTTCTACTTAAATTTGCTGCAATATTTTTAAACGATAATCTCTCGTATGACACGGCGATTTCTTGAGTTAGGTGTTGATGCATATTCACCTTCAAAACTGTCATCGTAACTTAAGGACATGTGCTGTTGTGGCGATATCACCTCATCCTGTTCCATATGCTCCATGCTATAGGGATTCGGCAGACCGGTTACATCGTGATATGATGAGTCTGTAACAAAAACAATCAAATAAAAAGAAATATTAGTCAAAACTGCAATAATTTATTTTTAAAAATTATTTTTTTTTTAAATATGTTATAGAAAAGAAGAACAAAATTCCAAATCAGCAGATAAAAAAAGTTCAAATACAGAGAAAAATAAAACAAATTAGAGTGCATAACTTATAAATATATAAAGTGAAACAAACAAACAAGTTAATGCCGTTCAGAAAACGTAATTGAACGCATCTTAAAAAATAATTGCAGATTTTTTACAATTAATTTTTTTTTTTTTTTGTTTAATTAAACGCTACAAATTAATTATTTGTTTTTTTTTTGTTTTTGAGACATAAAAACGCTTTTAAACAAGTCCACTTACTTCTGGTGCTCTTTGTTAGAGCGTAACATCCTGAATAATGTCCGCTGCAAATTGTTAAGCCGCAGTAATAAATAAGTAAATACATATATGTAGAAATGTAATATAAGAAAATGATTATTATATTAATGCCGGAACGAAAAACCTTTTTAAACTTAATATTTAAATTGAATGACTCCATCGCAGCAAAGTTATGCACTTCGCCTGATATATTTACGAAACGTCTCTGTTAAAAACACCCAGCTCTTCTCTTACACCATGCATAGAACTCTCTAAATGCACTTCAAATGCATTTCAAATGCACTTCAAATGCGCATCGAACGTTAAGGTTTGAAACGTACTTATGGTAAAACGCGCAATGGGAACGAAGCGCTTGCTTACTTCTTTTACGAAAAAATTACTCAACGAGAGGTGTTACTTTTGACAAAGCCTTTTTGTGACTACTAAATCTTGTTTTTACTTGGTCCATCTCTCTCTATGTATGCCAAATTCTATATTTACTGTTAGCATTCTCTTTGTGCTAAAAAGAATGCATGCAGACAACGAATTTTTGGAAACAAAAAAAAATATTTGTATTTAACTTTAATCGATATTAAATGTTGATAAAAAGAAGACTAATTAAGAAGACTAATTAAGATAATTAAGACTAATTAAGACATGCATAGAGATGTAATAATCGACTCAGTGAAAAAATATATCAAGGCCAGTGTCCTAAAATTATTCACAAAAGTTGATAGGTTGCCCAACCCCGCCCTTACAAACCTAAAGTCCACCTCAGGACGCACAGGAGGATATGCTGATCTACGGCCCGTCATCAGTTAAAAGATAAAAAAAATAAATAATAAATGATAATAACTATAATATAGTTAAAGTTTAGTGTGGGGTAAGGATCAGCCCCCCAGCCACAAAAGAGTAAAAGTGCGCAATAGCAATAACTCAAATCACAACAACAACAACAACATGGGCAATATGGCTCAGTTGAGTTTGGTAATCAAAGATATAGCAAAGGAGTTTAAGGTTCGCGTCAAACTGTTTGCTATCAAATTAATAAGTTTAGAAAGCATAAAAACATAAAAAACTTAACGAAATCAGGTGTTAAACGTAAAGTAACGCCCACTGAAGACCGAGTCCTTTTAAGGAAATTCAAAATAAAAAAAAAAAATTTCTAAAGCCTCAAACTGCTGCAGATAACTAGAATTTGGTGGTCAAGACTCCAATTAGTGACCGCACTGTTCCACAACGTTTTACGGAAGAAGATTTTAAGACAATAAAAGCTAAGGACGTACCGTACATATCAAAGACAAACAAACTTAAAAGACTGGCCTTCGCTAAGGAATATCTGCATAAGCTAAAAGTGTTTTGGAGAAGCGTTCTATGGACAGATGTAAGCTCTTTTCAGTATAACTCATCCAAAACACATTTTTTGTAAGACTTCCAAAGGTACAAAATCAAATAAGACGTCCCGTTTTTCAAAAATTGAACCATGGTGGAAGCTGGGTCATGTTATGGGGATGTGTTGCATATAATGGGCTGAGTGACTTGGTTTCTGACCACTCTAAACGATTATGCGTTTCTGTCCGGAGATAGGCTTATTGGAGAATCATTTATCCCGCAACAACATAATGCCCTAAGCCACAAAGCCCGGATGATAAGTAATTTTTTGAAGGATATTGGTGTTACCACTTTGAACTGGCCACTTCAAAATCCAGATTTAAATATAATAGCAAATGTCTGATCTCTTTTGAAACGAAAGAGAACAGTTTCGGTAAATTAAACCAGAGAGAAGATAATTTCTGATGTCAATTCCCTTTAGAAAGAGATGTCTCTAGAGATTCTTCAAAATTGAGTCGATTCAGTACCGAGACGCCTTAAAAAAGTTATTGAAGCCAAAGGAGGTTATACATTTTACTAAATTCTACTCATTTTCTTTACTTTTGTTAAGTCTAAATTTGTTATCTTAGTAATATATACTTGTCAAAATACTTATGCTAACATATGAAATTACTAATTAATTTATATCTTTTTAAGTTTCTATGAAAAAATATTTGTTTGCTTATTTTTAGTGTAGAGGTTGTAAGTAGTCGTCCGACCTACTATTGGGTCTTTAAAACATAAAAGAAAATTATATTAATCTTATAATAAAACACATACGTTTACAATCAAATTTGGAATGAAATCCATAAAATATTTGAAACTGCAGCTTTCTTAGAACCATAATAAAAAAGCCCTGTTATTACACTAAGATATGTAACTTTTTTGTCAAAGAATTTACACTTATTAGCTTTTTGAGCTAATATAAAATACTAATCCATAAAAATATTGTCGACATTTCGAAACTATTTGGACATCTTCATCTTGTTAGATATCTCTCTGATGAAATCAATAAACATCGAAACGATTTTTATAGTCGAAATGCTTTTAATGAAAAAAAAAACAGGCAAATTTGATACACTATTTTAAGTCCCACTATATAATCGCTGAGTTGTTGTAGGTATTTGTAGAAATCAGAGTTCGTGATCCGGTAATGTTTGATCAGTGCTCAATACGAGTTCTCATTTACCATATAACAGTTTTTGAAAAATTTTGAATAGTGTTGGTAGAAGAGTAATTGACCTATATGATAAAGTCTTTGTTGCATCCTCTCTCTCTAGGTTTTGATATTGGTACAATTAGCGATATCTTTATACGGTTACGAAGTAATGCTCTTGAATTATTATATTTAAGTCATTTCGGATATATAATTAATATTTAATTTATGGTGGAAGTTTTTCTCTTTTGATTGGTTTAGCTTTCCTATATACTTACTTCTATATTCTATTGTTTATTTTTAACAAACTATCATTGTCTGTAGATTTATAAAGAATTCTTTGAAGTTGCGTCATATTGATACTTAATTTTCATCAGTATTTGCCTATGATCTATTTGGTTTTTTAGTGAATTTGTTAAGTGATAGGTTTCTGATGTAATTCATAAATTGTAGAGAATACATATTTAGCCTGTTTTTTACTCCTTGATTACCTGGTTAAATTTATTTTCGTCGTCTAGTGCCTTTGAGGCATGACAAATTTTATATAGCTGCTTCCAATTGCAGTTAATTGGCTTAGTCCTTTTATGTCGATAGAACTAAATGGTTCTTTGTCTTTGTGTAAGGAAAACAATTAAGTTATTTAGGAATGTATTTAACAATCCTCTAAAAATATTAAATCATCAATTTTTTTTTCTCACATATGAGGAACACTCAAATATATTCGAATATGTGTAAATAATTTTTCATTGACACGATATATACAATAATTGCATACAGTTATATATCTAGGTAATTACCAATATGAGATATTTTAAGCATTTATAACTCATTACATATATGATAACAGTTTATATATGAACAAACAACACACAGTTCCACAATCTCCAACAAAACATTTTTCTGTTATATATCAAAAATATTACAATATTAACATGTTACAGTAAAGCATAAATGTGCTATGTAATAGCACTTATTGTGTCATCAAAAGTACCGATGAAACTTTAAATTTTTTTACGTTATTACTAAAAATTTATGTCATCGGTTGAAAATATTTAAATGCTATTTTTAAGGAAAAATATTTATTATTAAATTTAGAAACTTCAAAAATACCGAAATTTCGTTTTAATAAATAATTAACATAAACTATAAAAATATTCCTATTTTAATGCCTCTGCTTATTTTATCCACAAAAAGAAATTTCATTTGGTGCCAAAGTCAATACTTGATATGATACCCTTTCGCTTTTATCACTTCGTCAAGTCTCTTCGGTATTGAACCTACAAGTTTTTGGGTTGTTTCTTAAGCAATTTGCATCCACTCTTGAAAATAGTCTTTTTTAAGGCTTCTTTGTTGGAAATAGTATATTGCCGAATGTTTTGTTCCAATATTGCCCATAAATTTTCAATGACATTCATGTCTAGGCTTTGCAGCCGCGGTGTCATCAGATGTGGACCCTTAGTTCCAAATCAACTAAGACTGTACGATACTGGCACTCTGGAGTTAATTTTTTTCAAAACGTTAAGGTACATTGTTTTGTTGATGTTACCATCAATAAACTCCCGATTCCTAACACCGGCGGCTGACATACAGGCCCAAACCATAACACTTCTGCCGCCATGCTTTATTATAGCTTTTAAATGTTTTTATTTTTGAGTTCAGTATTAGGTTTCCGCCATACGCAAGTCATGCCATCCGACCTAGAAATATTGAAGTCTCAGAATATGACTCTGTTTCAGAAGTCTAATTTCTTGACTGCTCTGATTCTTTTTGCTTATGAAGGGTTTTTTTTATTAAAGTGGGATTATTAAAGTGGGAGTGTCGAAGCACGTGGCGGACAGTTTCCACACTACGCGTCTTGCTTAGTTCTATCCGAACCTTGCTGACTATATCAGGAGCATTTAATTTTGGATTGCTCTTGATTTTTCTAACAATATATCGCTCGTCAGCTGAGTTGAAAATTTTATTTGGTACACTTCTGCCATTATTTTGAATCCTATTCTCACGAACAAAGCGGTTAATGATGCTCCGCACAGTGGAGCAACGCCAATTAACGAGTTCCGCAATTTTCCGCTGAGCGTGACCGTTCTTAAAATGGGTTACCACCAATTC